CAGCCTGTTCGTTGTTTGTGTATAGGAATGCTACTGATTTTTGAGTGTTGACTTTGTATCCAGCTACACTGCTGAATTTGAGGAGTCTTCTGGTGGAGTTTTTGGGGTATTCCATATAAAGTATCATGTTACCTGCAAATAGTGATAATTTCACTTCTTCCTTTCCTATCCTGCTTTTTTCTGGGTTCCTCTTGCATGGAGAATTGTTTTCCATTCTTCCACTTTCAGTCTATGGATTTCCTTTTGGGTAAAATGTGTTACCTGTATACAGCATATTGTGGGATTTTGTTTCTTAATTCACTCTGCCAGTCTGTTCTTTTGACTGGTGAACTGAGGCCATTTACATTAATGGTTATAACTGATATGTGTTGGCTTTTATTTGTCTTGTTATTTACTTGCTGTTGGTTTCATACTTTTGCTATCTGTTTAATTGCTTGCTCTGCTTGAGAGTTCCTTTCTATTGTTGTTCTTGAAATTGTGGCCACTTTTTCCTCTATCTAGAATATCTTTTAGTACTCTTTGTAATGCTGGCTTGGTTCTCATGAAATTCTTCAGTTGTTTTTTGTCTTGAAATATTGTATTTCTTCACTGAATTTGAATGATAGTTTGGCAGGGTACATCAGTCTTGGTTGGAAGCTGTTTTGTCTCAGGACCTGTAATACTTTACTGTAAGCTCTTCTCATTTGGATGGTTTGTGTTGAGAAGTCTGCCGTGATTCTGATTGGTCTTTCTTTTAGAGGTGATCTGTTTACATTGTCTGCTATTATTTCTTCAAATATTCTTTTTGTGTCATTTGTGTTGTCTCTTGCTGTTTCATTGACTCCTATTAGTCTTGCATTATTTCTCTTTGCATCATCTTGTAGCTGTTGAATTGATTTTTCCTGATTCTTTGTTGATTTTCAGAGATCCTTTCTTTCACAATTGCTAGCTGCCATGCTGTCTTCAAGATCTGAAATCCTATCTTCAGCTTCATTCAAGCAGTTTTGCCAGCTTTTAATGGAAGTTTTGATTTCTGTGAATCAAATATTTCTGTGACTCTCTTTCACGCATTCTAGTTCATTCCTATATTGTTCACTTAACATTTCCATCAGTTTCCTATCCTCATGTATTTTTTATATATGTCTTCTTTAGATGTGCTGAGCAATTCTTTCATTGTTGTTGTCATTTCATTTTTTACCTGAGAGATTATTTCTGATCTGATATCTTCTATAGCCTGATGGAGTTGTTTCTTTACTTCCATTGCAATCATTTCAGTAATATCAGGTTTGTGTCTACCAAGTTATCCTATGTTGATGTCTTCTAGACTTGTTCTGAGTGGGGTGGAGTTCTGAGATTGCATTTTAGTCATTCATCTTGTCATATTTGATGCTGAGGGCAAAGCACTTAGTATCCCTCTTCCCTGGCAGCTCAGCAAAGGTTGCTAGCACCCCTAGTTTTCCTGGTGGTCAGACCTGCCCCTCAGTGGCTACTGAGATGTGCTGCTTAGTCTGGGGCCTTCCAGCAGTTGGTGAAGTGTACCTTGTTCTCCCAGGTCTCAGACATGAACTGGGATGTAGTCAGATCAAAGACCATCTGATCCAGTGTCCCCTGATGGCTCAGGGTATGAGTATGACCCAGAAGTGGTCTGCACTGGTGGCATGATCATGGACCACTTGATCCTGTGTCCCCAGGTAGTTCAGGGCTCAAGCAGAGATCAGACATGAACATCAGGGTCAGCAGTTCGTGGACCACCTAATTCCATGTCTCCAGGCAGCTTGGTGAACATGCAGGAGCCAGACATGGGCTGCACTGGCAGTGATGGTGGACTGCATTTTTCTGTGACCTCTAGGAGGTCAGGACACTTGCAAAGCCCAGAAGTGAACCACAGTGTCAGCAGTTCATAGACTGCCTGCTCTAGTACCTCATGCAGTGCAGGGCATGCATGGGGAGGGCCCAAGTGCACCATGTTGTTAGTGGGTTCGTGGGCCTTTTGAGTCAGAATCTTCTGTCTGCACCAGGCACACAGAGGGTGGAGACACAGACTTTTTTTAAAAAAAATCAGATTTCATAAAGGTACCAAAGAGGACCTCCACGACTGTTTCAGAAAGTGGCAAGAATGATGGGATAAGTGTGTTCAAAGTGAGGGGCTGTATTTTGAGGGGGATTCATGGCAATGTATCTTTTGCTATAATCGGTTTTTTTTTTAATGGTATTGGGAATCAAGCTCAGGACCTTGCACTTGCTAGGCAGGTGCTTGTGTCATTGAGCTATATCCCCAGCCCTGTAACTGATTTTCATATTGACCATATTTTTGATCACCTCTTGTGCTGCAAACTTGTGGATTAGCTTATCACTTTTAGCAGTTAGCTGTTACACTGGCTGGGTTCTTTCTTCTTTTTGGCAGTGCTAGGCATCCAACTCAGGGCCTAGTGCCTATCTTAGGCAAGTTCTACATGGAACTATGTCCCTAACCTATTTTTCTTTTCTTTTACTGTGATAAGAACATTTACCATGAGACCTAATGTTATTTATGGCTTGGATCTAAAATGTCCTCTGAAGTGTCACGTGCACAGAGGTGGGGCTTTTAGCAGGTGAGTGGATCATGAAGCTCTATCCATGGATGGCATTGTTGGAGGCAATGGGCAGAGGCAGTGGGGCCTAAGCAAATTGTGGGGCTAGACCTTGAGGACATTGTCTCACCCCCAGCCTCTTTCTCTCTGCTCTCCCTAACCAAACCAACCTCAGTACTCGCCTCTCCCTGTTATAGTCCAGAGTCCACTTTCCTTGTGCAGCACCCTAACCACCCAGGAGGACCTCAGGCTAACACTTTCTGAGTCACATCCAGGTGGTCAAGGCAAGGGCAAGTTAAAAAGACCCACAGAATTTCCTGTTTTCAATGTGAGTTTTTCTTATCTGTGGATTCTTTTATTTGCAGGTGTTTAACCAGTTTCTAGAACTACTATAAAGTTCTCTCAGTCTGTGGCTGTTTGTTTGATATTTTGCATGGAGGGATGGGAGCTTGCAACTTCTTGCCTTGCTAATTGCTAATATCATTTTTGTTTATCCACTCCTCCCACAATATTCTCCTTTCCTCATGTTGATTTGTTGCCTTCCTAGGTTCATTGATGCTCCCCCCATCTATTTTGCTGGTGAGTTACAAGTTCCTCCAAGGAACTGTTTTCCAGATTTTCCATTCTAAAATGCTTCATCCTTTTTGTTTGTACCTATCTGCTGAAAAATTCACTCACAGTCATTTCAAGTGTGATTTTCTTGACCTTGTGGAATATAATTATAAAATCTGTGTTAAAATGTGTGACAATTCCAACATCTGGGTCATTTCAGGATTGACATGTTACTTTTGTCTGAGAAATGTCACATGTTTAAGAATTTTGTATGTCATGTCACAAAACTGTGGACTGTACCTTGAACACTGTGAATATTAGTTTGTACAGAATCTAGACTGTTGCACTCATCTGTAGGATGGTGGTGTTTTTGTGGATCCTATTACAATCATCAGAGAAAGTCGCTTTCATTTTAGCAAGTAGCCAACCTGGTTGGATTCAGCCAACAAGCTGTCTTGATTTTCTGTGGGTGAGGTCAAAATCCCAGTTTGATTCTCAAAGCTTTTGTCTGTCTCATTTATGAACCAAAGATCCATACGGATTCATACACAGAATTAGGGTAAGCCATTTCTTCCCAGCTCTGGGATTCTCTCCCATCTCTCACCCCTGAGCTCTCAAAGAGATCTTTTCCTGGCCTGAAAGGTGTGTTTATTTCCCACCACTTCTATTTAGCTGGTTTGCCGTGGTCACCATTGCACTGCTCCACCGCGGAACTTGCGTCAAGGCAAAAGTCTCATGTCCACAAGGAAGCCTGCTGTTGCTTCTCATCACCTGTGCAAACCATCTGTATGTGGCTCTCTGTAGTTTGGTGTCTTTTCACAACCTACTACTCAGCATCTTCAAGTAGTTGTTTTCATATTTGGTCCAGGGACTTTAGTTGTAATTACTGGGTGGGATAGACAATAGTTGGCTTATGCTGTCATTGTGACATTGAAATTCTCTGCTTGGTTTTTAAAAAATTGAATGCTTTTACCTGGTATATAAAAACATAAAAATGTACATACTAATGGGGTGACAAGTGATGGTTCAATACATGTGCACATTTTATAAAGCATAAATCAAGTTAAACTTAACTTCTCTCTTGTGGGGTCTTTGTTTCCATTTGTGGATTTGCTTCAATTTCCTTTCTCTTAGGATCCCAACTTGCAAAACCAACAGTACCTACCTCATTTGCAATTTCTGGCTTCATTTTTTATGGAATAAAATATAATTATGGTCATTAACCTACTAATAGCAAGTGTTCAATAAACACATGGTTATTTCTATTTATATATTTCTTACAAGGCTAGTTTGGATTTTTTAGAATAAAATAATTAATAACTAAAATGTTAAGAGTTTGATGATGAGTTACCCAGGGGAGCTGATTCTTGAAGGAAAAATCAGAAAGGAACAGAACTTGCTGGGTACGGTGTGGTGTCACTTGCACCAAACCAAGCACTCTGGGAGCCTGAGGCAGGAAGGTCACAAATTCAAGCTCAGCCTCAGCAATTTAGCAAAACTCTATCTCAAAGTTAGACAAAAATAAAGGGGTGGGTGGGGATGAGGTTTAATGCGAAGGCCCTCAGTCCAATACCCAATACTGTGTAAAAGGGACACTATTTAGAAAAGCAAAATATTGTGCACCAATTTCACAGCCCTTCGGATGGTGCCCCTAGTTCTTATCCAGCGACAGTTGTGGGAATTAACAAAACAGGAAACAGTAAGGGCAGCTTGCAGTTAAGCCTCTCAGAAAATGCCACATCATACAAGAACAAAATGACCCATATTTCCTTTCACATCTTTTATTGAAATTGTGAAAAAAGAAAAATTAAGATTCTTATTCACTCCCTAGAACAAATTAAGATTACAATGAGAAAAATCAAGATTCTGAATTTGTTCTTCCGTTTGCTCCTTTGCCAGATGGCGGAAAAATGCGCAACCCCACGAGGATCTCAAATCCGTGATGGACCAGCTGGCAGCATTCGGTCCGATCCAGTCGGTTACCACTTCTGGACGACAAAGTGCCATCGTGGTGTTCAGGGACACAGATGCAGCTTGCAAAGCTGTGAGCGCTTTTCACAACAAGGCCCCTGGCACCATGCTCCACTGCTCCTGGCAGCAACGATTCATGTCAAAGGATGTAAGATTTCCTATCGCCTCAAACCTCTGTGAATTTGTTAGAAAAGTTTTTATTCTTAGGGCTGTAAGTACAACAGTATATAACTGGTGTCTGAGCATTTTAAAAAGGCACAGTGAAGTTGATTTAAGAGCAGAATCAGCAGCGCTCCCCTTCCAAGGATGCTTCTCGCAGCTGCTGGCGAGCTCACAGTTTCGCTTTTCTGGAGAGGAAGTTCTGGATGCCATTCATGCACTCCTCGGACACCCACCTCTCCTGCAGGACTCTGCACTCCTCAGCGTTGACTGCGTGCAGATTTTCTTTCTCAGTGCTTCTTATTAACTGCTTTCCAATTCTCATTGCCTGAGAAGACAACCAACAGCAGGGTTACGAGTGATACCAGCAGGAGTGGGGCTGTTCAGATTCTTACTCTTGTTTCTCCAGTACCCATGTAACCAAACCTGTCAGTTCTTAGGATGTGTGTAATTGAAGACAGGACTTCTTAGCCTTTGAATCTCCCCATTAGGGATGTACTTCTAAAATGGCCCAGACAGAACCAAGGCTTCTCATTCCATGACCGCATTTTGAATACTAAGAACATATGTATCAGGGCGGCCAACGTCTAATTACCATGTATAAAAATTAAAGTGCTATTCCATAAGACTCTCCTCAAGTACACTTAATCTATCTGGCTTCTCACCTGGATTTCAAAACAGAAGTACTCAGAAAATCCTGCTGATTGTCCTCTACAAGTTATCCTCATGAAGAACCACCCCTCTCCCTTTCTATGACAGGAATAAATGTCCATTTGCTAAGTTTTGTAAAAATCAGCATTTCCAATGTTATTATGGTTATTTTTAATCTCATTTAGATGTCTTGTCTTTTTTTTTTTTTGAGACAGGGTCTCACTATGTAGTTTAGGCTGGCCGTGAACTCACTATGTAGCCCAGGCTGACCTTGAACTCACAGCAATCCTCCTGCCTCAGCCTTTTGTGCTGGGATTACAGGTGTGCACTACTTTGCCCAGCTTGTCTTATCTTTTTTAATGACTCATTTTCCTAAGGCAAATACATCTTCCCCTTAGGAAATTATTTCCATGGTTTCCACAAGTAAAAGGTCAATCCTGTACTAACATTTGGAGGGTTCTTGGCATAGGCTTTCAACCTGGCCCAGACTTCTTTCTGGAAACTGTCATCGGGAAAAACTTCCGTAACAAGGCCTTGAGCACATGCCTCTGTTGCTGTAATCTTCTTCCCAAAAATAAGCATCTCAGTTGCCTGAAAAGAAAAGCAGGGTTAAGGCACTAACTCCAACGCTTCTGTTAATTTCAGAATTGACTGCCTTCAGGAGACAGAGAGATCTACTTGTAGTCATTTGAGGTTGCTTGTCTGTCTGTCTTTCTTTTCTTTTTCTCTGTTTGGAGCAGGGTTTCACTATGCAGTTCAGGCTGGCCTTGAACTCATGGTGATCTTCCTCCCTCAGCCTCCTGAGTGCTGGGATTACAGGCGTGTACTACCACGCCTGGCTTGAGGTTATCTGTATTTCATTCTAAGAAGCAGCTGATGAGCTCAATGAACAGTTTTCAAACTGTTTTGAGGCCTTCACAGGCTCCCTCATCTATGAAGGGCCAGCAGGGCAGCTGCTTCCATCAGTTCTATGATGGGGATGCAAAGACGGGAGCCATGGAGATGTGCCTGGCACCCACAGCCGCTGTAGTTTCGCTTTAAGTATATAAATGATTACAAAAGGAAACACACGAGGGTGAGGGGCAGAGCTAGGACGTCCCATCATTTTCAGTCGCTGTGGTTCATCATGCAGGGACCCTGAGCTCAGCAGACTGAGGAAGGCAACGCGGTTCCTTGACTCCTATCACACAGCCATGGAGGACGAGGTCCTTGCTTCCTGCAGTGCAGCGAGCACCAGACACCCAGTGGAAAGAGCAGTGCTGCTGTCAGGGACCTAGGGAGAGATTCCTAATTTCCATGGACCAGACATTTCCCATAGCCTGGTTTCCCTGTATGTAAAACTCTCGCATATGGAGACCATAAAATAGCTTCTCTTTTCGTCCATCTTAGCAAGGCAAAGAAGAGAGTGCAGAGGGTTACATTTCAATGAGAAATGAGATGTTTACTTTGAGTTTTAAGCTTCTAGTCAGTTACCTTGGCCCGGCCCATTATCTTTGGGAAAGTGTAAGAGGAACATCCTTCCGGGGTTAGGCCGAGTCCACTAAATGGAGTGTGAAACGTTGCCTGTTTGGGGTGGGAAGAGAAAGGGAAACCATGTTTTAATGTGATTTTTAAAAATCATTTGATTATAACTTCAAAAAACTCAATCGAGATTGTGTGGTATAATATGCGTACAAAATTCACTCTTCAAAGTGTCTGCTCACTGAGTTTTAACAACTTTGGTTATGCAGCCACCACAAGACAGAGCTTTTCTGTGGTCCACAAAGTTTGCTTACAGCCCCATGGTAACCCCTTCCTCCCTAACATCCCTGTGCTATTGGCTTTCTACCTTCATCCCTGCAGTCTGCCTATTCTGTAATGTTCTGCAAATAGAATCCTACTAATCCCTCTGCGTCTGGTTTTGGTGGGTCACAGCCAAAGGCTTCTGAGAGTCACCATACTCCCACAAGGTAACAGTTTGTTCCACGTTACTGCTGCATAGTAACCCACTGCACGGTGGATCATAACTTCTTGCTCCCAGTATTCCATCTCTGAGTAAGCCTGGTCAAAGAACACTGAGTTCAACATACATAATTCCTATTTGCCAACTGTACTTCCATGAAGCTGAATAAAATTAAAATCTTTTCCAGATAATTCTATGCCCCCAAAAGGTTGTTGTAACATGTGTGCAGGGCTCTGGGTAAAGCTGTCTTCAGTTTCTTGGGTACCAACCTAGGAGTGGAAAATGTGGGTGTAACTTAGAAGCTGTCAAACTCCGTCCCAAATTGGCTGCATCGTTTGGCCTTCCCACCAATGGTGGGTGATAGTCCTGTCTGCTTCACATCCAAGCTAAACTTGATTATTAGAAGACTTTTAAGATTTTAATCCTGTTAGTAGGTGTGCAGTGGTTTCTCGCTGGGGCTTGTGTTTATTTGTGTCTGTTGGTTAATGATGCTGAGCATCTTTTCATGAACTTGTTACCCACCATGCCCACCTTCTTTGGTGAAACAACTGTTAAACTATCCTGCCCACTAGTTTTACAGTTAGACCTTACCTTCCTATATTGAAGTGGTGAGAGTGTTTTTACCTATTCAGGTTGTAAGTGCTTTACTAGGTAAATATCATGAAGTAATCTTTCTGGTCTGTGGATTATCTTCCTACACTGCTCTCCAACCCCATACTGGAGATTGAACCCAGGTGTGTCCTAACACTAAGCCACATCCTAACCCCTTTCATTTTTCGAGCCTCAAACTTGTGGTCTTCCTGCTTCAGCCTTCCAAGTGCTGAGATTACAGGTATAATCTGTATCCCCATTATGGTTTTGATCTAAAATGCCCTCCTCGATTGTTGTGAGTTCAAGGCCAGCCTAGGCTACAAAGTGAGCTCAACGCCAGCCTGAACTGCATAGCGAGACCCTGCCTCAAGAAGACCAAAAAAAATAAAATTAAATTAAATTAAAATAAATAAATAAAATGTCCCTCCTCAGCTGTCTCAGGTGTTCAGAAACAACACTTTGGAAAGATGAGTGCGCCATGCGGTGCTACTCAGTGGACTGACTCACCGATGAGTTTACAGCTGAACGTGCTGCTGAGAGAGGGAGCCTGGCCTGAAGAGGTGGTCACTCCACAGTGACCTGGAACGGTGTCTTCTTGTCCTCAGCTCCTCCCTCCTCTCTCTGCTTCCCGGTTGTCACGGATTGGGCAGCTTCCCTCTCCCATATCGTTTATATTTCTGCCTTTGAGCAAGCCAGCCAGCCATGGCCTGAACCCTCTGCAACTGTGAGGCAAAATAAACCTCCTCTGAGTTGCAGGTATCAGGTATTTTGCCCTGGTCATGGGAGAGTGGCGGATACAACCACCATGCTGGCTTCTTACTGGCTCTGAGATCTACTACACTTCCTTTTCTGTGGGCTGTTCATCTTCCCCATTGCCCATTTCCATATCAGCTTGTTAACCTACTGCTCTACAGCTGTATTTTAAAATATTTTTGGGAGATCAGCCTTTGTTCTAGGAGTTGAAAAATCATTTCCTCAGTCTTTTGCTTTGATTTTGCTTTACAGATTTTTTTTTTTTTTGGTTTGTTTTTTGTTTTTCTTCCGGTACCAGGAATTGAACTCACGACCTCCCACTTGCCAGGCAGGCACTGTGCCATGGAGTTAAATCCCCAGCCCCTTTACAGATGTTTTGATTGGCTTTAGATATTAGAATCACTTTTGATATTGGTTATTTAGGATATAATAATTTCACTTTTAAGTATATTTTTGTGTGTGTCTCGATAAAGGACAAACCCTTATAAAAGACAATTAGTTTTTAACCAATAATATGTAAATTACACTTCAGATTTAACTTACTATAGTCAGACATTGTGTTATTGTCATTTGTTAAAAGACAGAAATAATGTATGTAGTACATAAATAAAAATACAAAATAAAATATTTCCATTAATGTTGTCTTTTTTCCTTCCAAAGAGAGCTTATTCAGAAAAACATACTAAGAAGACGAAGCCTAAGGAATATAACCAGAAGACAAAAAAGAAACGCGCACTGCAGTCAGAGGCCCCAAACAGGTATGCACAAAGCTGACAACAAGCAGAACCTAAGATGTCTATTTTCAGCAACTGAGCAGTGGACGGGTTTAGGCCCTGGCATCAGAGTGCTTAGTGACTTAGGGAATGTTTCTTAGCCTCTGTGCCGCAGTTTTCTCACACAGCTGCTGTGTGCCTTTTGAGAATCTGGGTGTGATGTGTATGAACTGAGTGCCCAGTACACAGTAAGCACTTGAGTATTTTTTTTTTCTATTTCCTTCTGATGGAGACCACTACGAAGCTGCCCTGTGTAGGACTTCAATTAACCAATGGGCTTTTCATGTTTACTTGTGAGTCTGCCCAAAGCCTAGGCTCCTTGTCTGGAAATGGGCCTCAGACTCATAGTAAGTGAACCCCTGTGAGTCACTAATCCCTGCTGAGGCCAGTAATGGCAGATAAAGCAGGAAAACCTTAAAGGGTAAGACAAAAATCACAGCCAAAGACACCTGGATCCATCTAAATTAGATAAAGACTGTAGCCTCAGGCATCTCACTCCTGGGTAGATTAACTTCATTCCTTACTTGGAGAAGTCCTTGAGTGATTCCACCCTTCTTGAGTATTTCTCTCCCATCTTCTGATAACTAAGTAAATATGGGACACCAGAGAAGGTCTGGGTCTTAGCCCAGAGAGAATCCTGAATTTTGTGAGAGGGCTTTGATCCTCCTGGAGCCCTGAAATCATTCCATTCACCTTTTTTTCTTTTTTTTTTTTTCCTTTTGGGACAGGGTCTTGCTATGCAGGTCAGGCTGGCCTTGAGCCCCCTTTTGGCTCAAACTGGTCTCAAACTCAAATGATCCTCCTGCCTCAGCCTCCAGAGTGCTGGGATTATAGGCATGTGCCACCACGCCCAGCTCCATTTGCCTCTTTCATTTAGCCTTCACTGTACACTCCTGAGAGACTGCAGATCTGATCAGTCCACAATAACTAAGGGATACTACTAACCCAATCTCATCTAAAAAGGTACCATTTGCTGAATCTAATGGGCATTACTAACCACAGCTCATAACAAAGAATGGGTAGAATGCGCCAGTTAGTGTTTTGGTTATGTGGGTTAAACATGAACCCATGATTTGGTATGGTACCTTAGGAAGTGAACAATGATAAGTCCTAGGAATCTCTTCACTGGTTGAAAAAAACACCCAAATGTTTCTCACAAGGTTGTAGATTAATAAATTTTACCTCTACTTAAGCAAAAAGTCACTTGGAGAATCCATCAACCCCAGAGGTAGTTATTAGGTCTGTGGGAAATGTTCTAAGGGCAAAGTTCTAAAACAAATGTTGCCAGGCATGGTAGTACATGCCTGTAATCCCAGCACTCAGGACGCTGAGGCAGGAGGATTATTGTGAGTTCGAGACCAGCCTGGGCTACAAAGTGAGCTCAAGGCCAGCCTGAATTGGACAGTAAGACCCTGTCTCAAAAAGACCAAAGAAAAAAACAACAACAAAAAAAGTCCTTCACAACTTTGCTTCTGATAAAACCTTGAAAAAGCTTTGGGTTGGCTTTGGGTTCCAGCAGTTGGGGACTGGTAAAGTTAAGTTCTATAAATTAAACACTGGTATAATGGTTGTCTCTGAGTGCTGAAATAAGGGGTAATTGTTAAAAGATAAATTTCACTGTGTGTATCTAAAGTATGCAACATAAGATATAATAAAGCGGTTGCCATAATGGGAGAAATGGCATGTAGTTATAATCACTCTCCTACATGAACAGCTAAAACCCCTGAATCCCACACAATGGTAGCTTCATTCTCCATACCGTACTGTACCCACATCTCCCTGTACCCCATCCCCTCACACTGGAGTGATTTGGGGGGTGGTTTTGGTTCTGCTAAGGACAGAACCCAAACCTTACACATGCTAGGCAAGCACTCTACCACTGAGCTTCAGCCTAACACAGAGTGATTTTTATTTTTATTTTATTTTCTGTTTTTTTTTTCCGGTACCGGGAATCAAACTCATGACTTTGTGCTTGCCAGGCAGGCGCTGTGCCGCTGAGCTAAATCCCCAGCCCCTTGGGGCATGGAGTGATTTTTTAAAAAATTTTTTTCTTTGTACTCATCCATATTTTTCAAAATTTTATTTTCTGCTATAATAAGAGACACTGTCATAAGAATAAAAATCAAAGTAATTAATTCAATGGTAAACTGTGTTATGGACAAGGAATTTCTCAGAGCTTCAGTTTTTTTTACCTGTAAACGAGGTAGGGAGGGTAATGATCATAGTCCTTTCTTATTCTTGACTCAGTAAAAAGGATCAAGTAATGCACTTGTATAACCTGCAAAGATACTATCTCCTCTCCCATAAAAGCTTTCCAGTGTCACCTGAGCGTTTCTGAGTACCGCAAAGACCAAGTGACTACCCTTGACTAGAATATATGATGACCAGAGTTAGGACAATTCTCCGGAAAATTCCAGTTAACAATGAAGGAAAAATAAAGTCTGTCCAACTAGATTAGTTCTTTGAGGAAACCCTAGTCCATTCCATGACAAACCACACGGCTTCCACTTACTCCTAGCAACAATAAGGGAGAATCCACTTTCGCTCTGCTTCCCTGGCCTCTTCTGGTTGGTTCTGGGAGCTGACTTACCCTGTTGGACGCATACACAGCATCAAACAGCCCAAGAACGGTGGCGGCGATTCCCATGGCTGGACCATTCACCACCGCGACCAGCGGCTTAGGGAAGTCTATAAAACTGTCTACAAACTTCCTACAGAAAAGAAACAGAATCCATTCAGTGTTCCAAGCTGCATTCTGAAGTGCCGGGATGTCAGGATGAGCGTGAAGAGACAGCCCCACCAGCAGTCCTCCCCTCCGATCCCCTCCCTGGGCATCTTCACCCCAGGGCCACACAGGACACCCACTGAGTGGCCCCGGATGGAAGGCCGTGCTGCACCCATCTTCCGGGCATTGAGTTCAGGGCTGCCTGCTGGCACTGGCCTGAAGAGACAGGTGGTGACAAAGCGCGGCCTGACCGCACAGCACAGTGGGAGTCAGACTTGGCGGGGCCACCAAGATCGTAAGAGCAAACCCTTCCCCATGTCCTGTGCTTTCCAAGATCACTTCAAATCTGTGACCACATTCACTGAGGTCATCTGTTTCCCTGAAGAGAATTTGCTAATTTCTTTTGTCTCAAGGAGAGGATTTTATTGACACCTCTGGTTCATCTCTGCCTTCTACTTGACCTCATGGAGAGCGGCAGGATGAACAGTCCAGAGGCCGGCGGCATAGGCGAAGGCCCGCCTCCTGACGATGTTCAGAGAAACATGCTCGGCCGAGGTCAAAATGAACTATCAGTGCAGAGAACAATTGTTTTACTTTCAGTCAACTAAGTATCACTTGGATGCAGGAGCATGAGCCCACGGGGATCTCACAAATGTCACTCTTACCTCAGTGTAATGGAGCTCTCTTTAGCCACCTGCTTTAAATCACCAGAGATCTTCATGAAGTTAGTCAGATCATTCCCACTACTGTAATAGTCGCCACTTCCTGTCAACAACAAAGTCAACATATCCATCACACCCTCACCCTTGTGTTCTCACTCCTTCTGTGACTACCGAGTGAGGCTTTACGCTGGGCTGGGCTCTACGCTGGGCACCTGAGATGCACTGGTGAACCCACTGTGGTTCTTGCCCCGACAGACCAGTGAGGGAGAGGCACTCTGTCTAGCAGGCTTCTGCTCCCCCTTATCAGGAGTTTGGTTTCAGTTAATTATGTGCATTGCTGGTTTGAAAATGTTAAGTGGAAAATTCCAGAAAAATAAACAATCTGTAAGTTCTAAATAACCTCTGTTATTGAATACTATTTTTAAATGTTATTACCGTTAACCTCTTACCTAATTTATAAATTAAACTTTGTTAAAGGTATGGAGGAGCCCGGCGTGGTGGTGCAAAATCACTTTCAGACCTCCATCACTACAGAGCAGAGCTGCTATCCGGTGCGGAACTTTACAAAAATCGAGTCATACAGTATGGACCCTCTCGGGTTTGACTCCCTCTGCTGAACTGTTTTAGGGATTTACCCATGTTCTTGTGTGCACCCGTTACCGGTTCCTTTGTATTGCTCAGTAGTATTCTACTGCACTGCCAGCCAACATTTACTTTATTCGCCCATTTGATTTGTCTTGTTTTGGCTGTTGAGAATCCAGCCACTATGACTGTTCTTGTATAAGCCTAGCTTTGGGGATTTATGCTTTACTTTAGGTAATGATCAAAGAGTGGCTAGCCTGTGTTTATTATATTACTGTACATTTAAAAATTAAAGCATGGCATACTGGAAAAAGATCTCCAAGTTTATAACTCAATTCCCTATTGAGTAAGAGAATCCCCAAAATAGGAACTGAAGACATCCCAGAAAAATGTCTTACCTGTAAAAACAGTTATGGTTGAGTTATCTTTGCTTGCAGCTTTCATTGCAAGCATGATATCTTGATACATCTGCATGAATAGGAAGATGAGGAAAAGAAAAGAACATAGAAAATAAGACTCATTGCCCAGTGGATTCACTGTCTCGGTCCACCGAACACTTATGTCATTTGTACTTAAATAACCAAAATGGTGGATCAATATGTCTGAAAGCACTTTTATTCCTTCTAAAATTATTCTGCATTATTATGTACCAGGTGCTTTGGTAGGAGCGGAGGAACAGTAACTGCTTTATTATGCAAGGGAATAAAAAAAAACAGTCCTTGAACTTTCAGAATGATACAATATGGGGGCAGGGGATGAAAAATATGAAACAGCACAAAATCAGAGATGCTGAGGATTTCTAGGGCTGGTGGGACAGCAGGTGGGCAGGGAAAACGTTCCATGAAGAAATATCTATCTCAGTTGTGACCTCAAAAAAGAACCAGCATCCCAGGAAGTCTGGGAAGGATTAATTAATGCCCAAAGGCTGGGATTTCAAATGTGCTATCATGCCATCCATGGGCGATGACTTCTAAATGTTAAAGGAGCAACACTTCTAATACTCTTGGACACACTGCGGTAGCTTTTAATGCATTAAAATAGGCACAGATTCTACCTTAAGATGAGGTAGAAAAGAATGATAGATATAAAGACATTAAGGAAATAAGTGTGGACTTTACATAATACATGAATAAAAAAGTAATCATTTCCACTGAGGAAATAACTCCATTATTACCACAGAACTCATGACACAGCATGGCAAGCTGACCGGCAAGAACCAGGAGCAGCAGAGGCTATACAAGAGTTTTGATCTAGGTTTTCAAATGTATTTGCTATGTGAACTTGAGTGAGTTATTTCTTTTTTTTTTAATTTTAAAGACCAAAAGAAGGATAGCATAGTAATAGGGGGTCTTACTGAATTACAGACAAAGTGGTAGGAAATTATCAATGGTTGTTGTTTTACATATTGTTATCTACAAGATAGTTTCTCAGGAAAGCAAACAGATAATAGTGAATTACAGACAAAAGTGGTAGGAGATTATCAATGGTTGTTGTACTATATTTTGGTATCTTGAAAGTGGCTTCTAAAGATGAGTGAGTTACTTCTTAACCTATATTACTGTAAACAGCAATAACAGGCTTCTTGTAAAAGTCAAATAAACCTCTGTGCTCTGTGCAGAAAGCACTTATTAGGCACCCTGTGAGGCGTAGCCATTATTGACACAGTTACACAGAAATGGATCAGGGCAAGCAGAAACAGTCTGGAGAATTAAATGCTTTATGCACCAGATGGCATACATCCAGCTTTATGCAACTCTCACTTAAGAATTATTTCAAGTCACAATGCTTTTCTCCTCCACACTACCTATCAGAAGCCCAGCTGTTACAGGCATCTCAAACTCGACATCCAGCTCAGCATCAGAGCTGATGACTTGCCTGCAATTTACTTCAAGGGAGAGGGGCCAGGGTGGTCACTTTTTCATCATTCAAGTTCAAGGATAGCTTCAGTGCTACTCTGGTGTGGCAGCTCATTCAAAGCAGAGCTGGGTTATGCTCTGCCGTAGCTGAAATCCTCAGCTCCCTTTTCTCTCCACATGTACAAAATAAGGCCCTACCAGGGCAGAATAGACTCACTTTCGAGTGTAACTGGTAGCTTCTATCAACCTTAGAGGGGCTCTCTGCATTTTTGCTTATTATCAATATAGACTTCATTTATACTAACTGACTTGTGTTCCCATTCATAGGAGAGCCACAGAACCTTTTGGATAACTCACAAATTCTGAATAGAGCACGCCCGGTTGTTAAATGAAGTGGCCACAATTACTAATCATCTTCACCAGTTGAACCAGGGATATCACAAAGGTAGGAATAAGGCTGAAACTCTACAGTTTGAAAAAGCACAGAAAGAAAAGCAAAACCAGCGCTGCTCTCAGGACAGGCACCATTACCTCATTGGTGAGGGCGTTTTTTTTGGTTGGCCGGTTGAACATGATTGTAGTGATGTTCTCTTCGGTGGTCACGACGATGTCTTCAGACTCAGGCAGGCTCCTGTTGGCTCCAGGCCCCTCCAAGCTACAGGATTTAGGTGAAGGACTTAAGCTGGACACAAACTCCACATAGTCCTGCCGTGCAGCCTCCTGAGGAGCAGCCAACAAAGAGCATTAGTCCATCACAACTGAGTATCAGACTGTTAATAAATAGCACACTGAGGAACGGGCTGTTAATAGCACCCTGCAAAAAACAGGGTTTGATTCAGCAGAAGCACATCAGGATTCCAAAGGCTTTGATGAGAAACATCAAGCTCTTCAGAATTCCAGCGAACAGATAAAAGCACAGTGACAAACAAATTGACCTTGGGCAGGCTGCCAAGGGCGTTCCACGCATCCCACTTGGCCTTGCTGATGGAGTTGAGCACACCTGGTTCGGGTACATTACAAGGTCCTTCTGTGGCCTGTGGAGAAGGGAGGGATGATTACTGGTCAAACGTCCATGCACACCAGAGCCCTAAGTGTTTAAGATCCTTAAAATCCAAAACTAGAACAAACGCCTTCCTCAAACTGTTTGACAGAGTACACAGAAGGACCAACTTTTCCCTCCTCCTCTCTTTGATGTTGCTGAAAACACAAATGACAGAAAAAGGCCAGGGCGATAAAAGATGCCGCAGGCTCACAGTTGCTAAAATAAGTTATAACTGCCTTAATGTGGAAATAACTCAGAGGAGAGGCTTTGGAAAAGTACTACCTAAAATTCTAAGAGTACATGAATTCTCTATCAATAATCACATTTTTCACAATCAAAACAGCCAAACAGTTTTCAACAGGAACTAGTTAACGAACACGTGGAAACCCACAGTAGATTCCAAGAGCTGAACTAAGGGTAGAAGAAACAGCACTACTTCACAGGGGCGGCGGGGGGGTGGGAATCGTGGTCACTCAATCGCAGAACTGTAGCTGGTGGAGCAGGAGGTGGGCTCTTGGAACCTCTGGCCACACGAAACATAAAGGACATGTGAGTAAAAGCAAAACTGACTGCATTTTATTTGTCTGAGGGTAGATGGAGCAACTGGCTTAAAAATAGCGCACTGAGCTACTTTTCAGGAAAGGCAGTTTAAAACTCCATTTAAAAATGTGCCGAGGGCTGGGGATTTAGTTCAGCAAGTACAGTGCCTGCCTGGCAAGCGCGAGGTCGTGAGTTCGATTCCCAGTACCAGAAAAATAAAACAAAAAACCTGAAAAAAAAAAAGTGCCGAGTCGGGTGTGGTGGTGCACGCCTGTAATCCCAGCACTCAGGAGGCTGAGGCAGGAGGATCATTGCAAGTTTGAGGCCAGTCTGGGCTACAATGTGAGCTCAAGGCCAGCCTGAACTGCACAGTGAGACCCTGTCTCAAAAAGACAAAATAAATAAATAAATAAAACAAAAACAAAACGCTCATGTACAGAAATATATGCAAATATACAAACATTAAAAGTGCACTTTAGGCCAGGCACGGTGGCTCACGCCTGCAATCCCAGCACTGGGGAGGCTAAGGCAGGAGGATCATTGTGAGTTTGAGACCAGCCTGGGCTAAAAAGTGAGCTCAAGGTCATCCTGAACTGCATAGCGAAACCCTGTCTCAAAAAGACAAAAAAAAACCAAAAAACAAAAAACAAAAATAAATAAATAAGTAAATAAAAGTGCACTTTAGGAGACACGTAGTATTTCCAAAGAGTCATTTGCTCAAAATGTCTCTAAATAACATCAGACTGGGACACGGCCATGGCACAGTCAGAGACCCCTCAAGGGACGGAGGCACCACATCGGCTCGGCATGGGAGGCAGAGCCTGCTGCACCAGGATGAAGCTGTGAGCCGAAATTAACCTCTCCTCCACACTGGGTGCTGGGGACTCGGGCTCCTCGGTGAGAAAGTGACTAAATCAGCCCCTGTTATTCATCAAAACACAATCTGTGTTTTCTTCTGAGACCATCAGGGACTTACAACCAGTGCTTTGCTTAAACGCTTGACTCCTCACTCGGGACTACAAATGTCCAGTAGGGTAACTAAAAAATACGGCTTAAGCTTCATTTCCTAAAACTGATCAAATCTGTCTCAGCGTGGGCCATGACAGCCATGTAGGGAATATCTGATAAAAGCTGGCAGAAGAGAGTTCATTAGCCCCAAGTTTACCTACCCGAGCTCATCCCCCTTCAAGACAGAGGACACCAACACAAGCCTAACCAAAGGGAATTTCAGGGTTGAGAGGGGCGTCCGATCACCAGTCTTTACCACACCCAGTTCCAGGCCCCTCTGCCCTGCAGGACACCTCGAAGTCTCTAGCCATGGTCCTCAATCACCATGTGTGATTGCCCTCAACAGGCAATCACTTCACAGGAACAAAATTGCCCCTCAGGCAGAGAGAATTCCTCCATCACCACCAAACTAGGGCTACGATAATGACTGGCTGGACCCTGGCCCCGCTCAGCTCATCCCCAGTGGCCCTGCCTCTGCAGGCGGCAAGTCTGATCCTCTCCATCGTGCGCCCCTTGCAGCTGCTACCGGAGCCGGAGACCTCTCCTTACCCGGTCTCACCCTTCAGTAAAAGCGTCTGTCTGCAAATTCATGCGGCCACTTTGGTTTCTCGTATCACAAAACCAAGGACCCGCGCTGACAGTCTTGGACACTTGCCTGCTTATACAGTGCGTAGAGTTTTAGCTTGGCGTCATTTCCTGGATCCTCCTTCAAGAGTTTCACCTGATTCATTGCATTTTCAAAATCCTTCTGACTGGCTCCCATGGCGGCTCTGCTCGTGCACAGCTGAGTTGCTGAGACACTAATGACCTGGAAAAGACTACACACAGGCAGATGTTTATTTGTACAAGCTCTTCTACTTCTGCAGCTTAATGTTTTTTTTTTCCCCAGTATGGGGACTGAACCAAGGGCCTTTGCACCGAGCTACCTTCCCAGGTGCTTTCGCTTTTTCATTTTGAGACACAGAGTCTTTCCTGGTCACTTAAATTGCCCAGGCTGGGCTTGAATTTGTGATCCTCCTGCCTCAGCCTCCCTGAGTGCAGTGCTTGGATGACAGGCGTGTGTTACCACACCTGCCTTGCAGCCTGAATTTTACACACTCTCCGCCCTCACTGAATTGTTGTATTTACCTATAAATATTATCTCCATACTTGTTCCAGCAAGCCACCTGGGAACAGCAGTACAGTCCTAGATAAATCAGTGTCGTCGACTGTAGCAATTCTAAAATAATTCGGGGGCCGGGACACAGTAGCACAGAGCCTGCCTGGCAAGCGCAAGCTTCTGAGTTCAATTCCTGATACCGAAAATCAAAGGGCTCAGTCTCACCAGACTGCCCCATTTAAAATAATGGACAAGGAAGTTATAATTGAGGGAGGCATTTGTAAGCAACTCAAATGAAAGATAAAGACACCCAGATGGATGGATTCTTTGTTTCTTTCTTTTCCTTCCTTTTGTCTTTTTGAGACAGGGTTTCACTCTGCAGTTAGTTCAGGCTGGCCTTGAGTTCACTCTGTAGCCTAGGCTGGGCTTGAACTCAGAGACCTTCCTGCCTCAGCCTCCCAAGTGCTGGGATTACAGGCGTGTACCACCACGCCCAATTTTTGCTATGTAAATTTTGTCTAGACAGGAAGCAAATAAAGGGCAAAACAGAAGCGGCCAGGAAAACAAAGGATTAAAGCACACCAAATTTCGTCCTGAGATCCAGGGTCCTGAAACAGCCTCCACTCAGATTTACAAGGTATTACTACAGTCAGAACACCGGTCCCAGCACACGCAGGAGCAAGGAGCGGGCAGGGATGATGACACCAGAAACATTGACAGGGACAGTGACCAGTCACTGGCTTCCACAGGATCTTCCAAGAGGCGGGAGAGAATCTACCTCACTGAAGGGGGAAGTGGACTCTGCAGACGAGCCCACCCTCACCCTGGATGTCTGACCAGCCAGAGAGAAGCAAAGCAGAAACAGCAGGTGATGTCAGAGATCACCAAGTTTTTAAACACATACAGTAGGCTGGGGAGGGATGGTGAGCTTCAAAGCACAGTACTGAAGCAGTAAGCAAAACAGAACCAAAATAAAAACAGGATATTCACAAGCTGTCTGTGACACAGGAGGCTGTGGCAGGAGGATTGCTATGAGTTCCAGGCCAGCCCGGACTACATAGTGAGATCCTCTCAAAAAACCATCCAACCAACCAGCCAACCAACCGACAGCTCTGAATGCTAAAATTAAGGGCATTAATGATGATTAGAATAACACAAAGCCTAAACCCAACAAATACATCTCCCTCCTCAGGGTTACCTAACTTGCGAAAGGCAGACCAGACTCTTAGTTCAAACCCTGGCCTATTTCCAGTATGCAACTCAGTAATGTCCGTTTATAATATCTTTTACATAGTTTTTTTTGTTTGTTTGTTTTTCTTTGTCTTTTTGAGACAGGGTTTCGCTATGCAGTTCAGGCTGGCCTTGAGCTCACTTTGTAGCCCAGGCTGGTCTGGAACTCTCAATGATCCTCCTGTCTCAGCCTCCCGAGTGCTGGGATTACAGGCGTGTGCCACCACGCCCGGCTCATAGTTTTTTTCAAAGAAGGGGAAAACTGCATTTTCCTTGAATTTGGTATAGAGAAAATTCCAAGTACAAAAGAAAGAAAAAAACAGAAAACTGAAAACATCCCCTCAAGGCCGACATTTCCCACTTCCCATAAAATGTAGAACACACTTACTTTAAAACGAAACGTGACTTCTAACAACAGACTGCAAAACAGGACCATTTAAGAAGATCAACTCACGCGTGACCTCACCGCATCAGTCTCCCCTCTGGCTCCGGGCGCAGACGCGGCTGCTCCGCAAGGTGACCCTGGCTCCCGCTCCCCGCACCCCGCACCCCGCACCCGGCAGCCTGCACAGCCAGAGCTGCCGCCCCACGGTCCCGCGGCGCCCAGCAAGCACGCAGGGCGGGGCGGGCAGGCGTCCCGCAGCGAAGCTCTCCGCACCCCGCCGGCGCCCGGTCCCCGGCAGAGCAGTCCCGGACCCCGAGGAGAGCAGTCCCGGACCCCGAGAAGAGCAGTCCCGGACCCCGAGGAGAGCAGGCCCGGACCCCGAGGAGAGCAGGCCCGGACCCCGAAGAGAGCAGTCCCGGACCCCGAGAAGAGCAGTCCCGGACCCCGAGGAGAGCTGGCCCGGACCCCGAGGAGAGCAGGCCCGGACCCCGAGGAGAGCAGGCCCGGACCCCGAGGAGAGCAGTCCCCGACCCGGGAGCGCCCACGGCCGCCGAGCAAGAAGGCGCGCTCTCGGGAACTCGGAGCGCCAAAACCAGGGGCGCCACATCCCGCAGGGTCCTAGACCAGCGCGACCCCCCCCCCCCCGAGGCAGCGGCGAGGGGCCGGCGACCTCTGCATCCGGAGCCCGAAGCTTGCGGTGTACCTTGGGCGCCAATCTCCCCGCAACGCCTCCCACAGCCAGCAGTGCGCAAGCAGAGGTCTCGGGGCCGAAGATAAGGCCTGGCTGGGGGGCGGGGCCGGGTGGGCGGGGCCTGGCTGCGCGAGCTTGGCCTAGGGGCGTGGTGAAGGCGAGGGCTTGGGGGTGTGGCCGGGCCCGGGGGCGTGGCCGGGCTCCGGGAGGGAGGAGGCGGGCGGTGGAGGGGAGCAGGGCAGAGCGAGGAGAGCCAGGTCCCCGGACCCCAACTCCAGACCCGGGCGGTACTTCCAGGGGTGGAGGGCAGGGTGGTCCAGCCGCCCTGAGATCGAAGGACCCGAGGTGTGATCAGAGTGGAGGATATGTGGTTAAAGAGAACCACGATATTCTCCCCACAAGAGGAAAGGTTTACAGATCTGCAGAGAGGACCCCTGGTGATCGGGCATCGTCTCTGGAATATTTTAATCCACCTTTATGTCAGTAACCATCTATGGGTATTTTTAGTTCTGCAGAAGACTTTACCAAGTATTTTCTACAAGGAGGGTTGTTAAAAAGAAAACTGTCACAGCTGCATCTTAGAATGGGTGCTCAATATACAGTATCCAGGGATGCGTGGGTCTGAGATTTACTGAGGTGACGCTCGTGGACTACCAGGCTAACTGTAGTATTTCAACCCTGTAGGGACAATGATAATAAAACCTTGGTTTGCCAGCATAGTTGCGTCTGGAAAGATGCTTGTTTTTTGTTTTTTTTTGTTTTTTTCTTGTGGTACCAGGAATCAAACTTACAACGTTACACTTGCCAGTCAGGCACTGTGCCGCTGAGCTGAATCCCCAGCCCCTGGAAAGATGTTTGTAATCGAAAGCACTTGTATCAAAGCAAACTGCGCCATAAGAAATGATGGAAACTCAAATGATTTGTTCTACAGCCCCAAAATATTCATATAAAAATGATTACAATACTGTAATATAATGCAACATAATAAGGAAAATAAAGAAATATAAACACGTTAACACACATTTACGTTTGAAAACCTTCCTGGCTAGTTTGAGGGAGAAGAGCGAAAAGGGTTGTTGTTATGTAGGACGCCTTTCACAATGGGTAACTCACTAATGGAATCGTTGCTGTTGGCTCCATGGAATCTTTTTCTTTCTCTGCAACTTTAACAAGGAGCCTGTCCAGTGACACATGCTTTTCCCATCTTTTGAGGAGTTTGTGTAAACAGATTCATTGCTCTCACTGCTACAGCCTCATTCGGGTGGTGCTTCTCTATAAAATTTTGCACTGTTTCTCACATTTTATACATCTCCCTAAAATCACTTGAAGCAAGGGATTCCTCTGCCTTTTTCTCCTCTTTCTCTGCAGATGAAAACTCCATAACTTCTTGCTGTTGGGACACAACCAGAGAGAGAGAGAGAGAGAGAGAGAGAGAGAAAGAGGGAGAGAGAACTCTTGGCTCAGTTGTGATCATGTGACGTTAGGCATCATGTACTATTCCTATTGCAAGATATTGTTCATTTATCAAACTAAAATTTATTAGAAATGTTTGCTCATCTTATGAAACAAGCTACTCTTTGTCCAAAGCTTTGCTGTTCTCTTGTGATGATGTGGAAATTGAGACCTAGAAAGATTAACCTGATGATTGACCTAAAGATTACACCTTCCAGAGGGCAGAGTACAAACCTTACATAACTTTATTACCCCATGCCAAGGGCCTTGTTTCACCAAGTAGATCTGGGTAATAGTGTGAGTGGCGGTGAGGTGATGTGGAAAGCCTGGGAGAACCACTTGGTCTTATTCTTCACCTCTCCTCCAGAGTCTCCAGCCTGGTGGTTGGCTCAGCACAGCCTCTCAAAGATCCTGACCACTCACCAAGCTGAGTTAGTTTCTACAGAATTGAGTTTGGTAACCCTATGAGGTAATGAAAGTGTTCTAATCAGAAACTGGACTCACCAAAAAATTCATTGTTGTTGTAGTCAGGGTTTGCAAAGGGATGGATTTGATACAGAGCACAGAATTTATAGGATTATTTTATAATATTTGCCATAAAGTCAAATGCAGAAGAGCGCAAGAGCTCTGTCCAAGCCCAAAGAGACCCAAAGAATTCAGGTGAGGGCCTGGATCTTATGGCAATGCCCTCCACTAGTCCAACTGGAGACCAAGAGCTCACAACAATGTCTCATGCAAGTCCGTATCAAGGATCTGCACTGGGAAGACCTAAAGGTCAGTGGTGGAAGTAAGAAAGTCTGCACTAGCTGGGTGTAGGATCTGTGCTAGCAGGCTGAGGGATCTGCACTGGAGCCAGGAAGCGATGCTCAGGGTAAAGATCAGAGCTCCGCCGAAGAGAAACGCCGCCATCCTCAGCAATAGCGAGGTCCTGAGCTCCTCTGACGCTAACAGCTGAGTTCATATGGAAAGCCAGCATGACAAGCTTCTCTAGGAGAATCAACAGCATGCCATCTTTTCCTCCAGTTCGCTTTTCATGCTGTTGGCAGCAATCTTCAGGTGGGTCTTCCACCCCCAGAAATGTGCTGATTCTGTTCAGCCGGGTGTTACAAGTTGACCATTTAGTTAATCCACCACGATTGTTCTCCAGACAATCACATCTCACAGAAATATTTTTTAAATCCCTTATCGGTAAGCATATTTGGTTAGTAAAGCTTTCTACAATGCAAACAAATTTCATAGCTACCATGTTTCACATAGATACCTGAAATGTGGGAAATTAACGCAAAGTTTAACAAAATATAGAAGGAGCATTGTCAAAGACTTGCTAACTCATTCACTAGGGAACCAGCAGAATGATAAAACACTAAATCTACTAGAGGAGAAAGTAGGGTAAAAATCTTGAAGATATAAGGGTAGGCAGGGCATTCATGAACAAAATCCAAACCACACAGGAAATACTTCAAAGAATCAACAACTGGGATCTCGTCTCACTGAAAAGTTTTTGCACATCTAAGGAAATCACCAACAGAGTAAAACGAAAACCCACAAATTGGGAAAAAATTTTAGCCAACTGTCCAGCAGACAAAGGACTTCTATCTAGAACATATAAAGAATTAAAAAAATCAGGCCCTCAAAATTCAAAGACCCAATCCAAAAATGGGCATCTGAGATGAATACACACTTCTCAAATAAAGAAATACAAAAGAAAAATACATATATGAAAAATGTTCAACATCATTGGTCTTTCAAGAAATGTGAATTAAAACAACACTGAGATTTCATCTCACCCCAGAAAGAATAGCTATCATCAAGAAGTCAACCAATATCAAATGCTGAAGGGGCTATTGGGAAAAAGGAACCCTTTTCCATTGTTAGTGGGAGTATAGACTGGTACAACCACTGTGGAAATCAGTGTGGAGACTCCTCAGAAAACTAGGATTAGAGGTCCCATTCAACCGTGCTAGTCCCCTTCTAGGTAGCTTTCCAGAAGAACTGAAAATATCACACCCATGTTTATAGCAGTGCAATTTTTCATAGCTAAATCTTGGAAACAGGGCTGGGAATTTAGCTCAGTGGCACAGCGCCTGCCCGGCAAGCATGATGTCGCGAGTTTGATTTCTGGTACAAAATAAGTAAATCTTGGAAACAACCCAAACGCCCATCAACTGAGGAATGGATAAAAAAGACTTTTTTATACAATGGAGTATGTGCTATAAAAAAAGATAAACTTGAGGCTTTTATAGGTAAATGGATGCAACTAGACATCATGCTTATAAGTGAAATAAATCAAACCTGCATATGTAAACATCATATTGTCTCCCTAGTGTAAGAACCTGAAAGAATAAATAAAACCTGAAAGGTACAATAGATATTGTGAAAGGGAAGGAAACTGCTCAAAGGGAAGGAACAACTGGAATGAGTGAAAGGAAAAAAGAAAGGAGGAAGGACAAAAAATATAAATGTATATACAAGGATAGCTGGGATAATTGAACTACTGGTTCCTACTGGTTTATGGAAAGGAACAGTTAATGCTTAAATCTTTTTTTTTTTGACCAATGTGGCATGCTTATATCTGGTAATCTGAGCAACTAATATTAAAACAGCAGCAGGGCGTGGTGGTGCACGCCTGTAATCCCAGCATTCAGAAGGCTGAGGCAGGAGGATCGTTGAGAGTTTGAGACCAGCCTGAGCTACAAAGTGAGCTCAAAGGCCAGCCTGAACTGCATAGTGAGACCCTGTCTCAAAAAGATAAAAAAAAATAATAATAATGACAACAATATGCAATATAACAACCATTGTTGAATTCCTACCATCTTGTAAGTGAAACTCTGTATCATTTTTTGTTATTATTCTTTATTCTCTTTAATTGTTTGATCAATCTTACGTTCTTACATCTGGTAATCTGAGCAACTTCGTTGAAGATAACAGTATGTAAGATAACAACCACTACTAATTTCCTATCTTGTTTTGAAATCCTGTATTGTTTTTGTGTTCCTTTGCTTTTATCTTGGTGTTTGTTATTTTGTTTTCTTTTCTCTTTAAATAAAAAAAAATGGAGTCAGTTCAGGATGCGCAGAGGAGCCAGACGCGGGCCGCACTGACAGCGATCACAGACTGCCCGTGTCTGTGACCTCCAGGAGGTCGGGGCACAAGCAAAGCCCAAACCCGAACCACGGTGTCAGCAGCTCGTGGAGCGCCCGCTCCAGTACCTCTGTGGGCACTGGGCACACCCGGTGAGAGCAGTTCTCAGTCCTTCTGAGTGAGGATCTCCTGTCTATACTTATTACTTAACCCATCCTTTCTTTAGCAATCTATCCCAAAAGAACATGCATCCTCTCAAATGGAAAAATACAATGCACTAAAATATAGTGCAAAATCATAAAAAAAAACTTAAGTTAAGTTAAAAAAATGATTAACAGTTTCTCTCATTGCTCTCACCTAAAGGCACACCCAGGGGAGGTATCCCCTTTACATTAAAAGCCACTTCCCATCCTCTGGCAGACTGGTGCATAACACTCCATATGTGATTCTTGAGAACTGTTGAACGTTTTGGTCTAGCCTGAGTGGTTCCACACGTGACAATAGCTTCTGGGTCAATTGCCGTCCCCTTATTAAATCAGAAGGTGTTAACGGGTGTGTTTTAGTGCTTTGA